CTTCCACTCTGCCATCCAGGGCCACCATGTGTGGGAACTGTGGGCTTGTTTGATTGCTTTTTGGAAGGTGGTCTAGGTACAAGGGCGAGCTTTAAAAATACATTGTCAACTATTGCTGCCCAAGACCTTGGCACCCCTTCTGTCTGACCATCTTTTGAGGGCATCTGGCTCACCCTTCCTCACGAGAAATGAACATCTTGCCACTGGGTTTATCCAGAAATGACCCGGAGCCCCACCACAGTGCCAGCCCCGTCCCAAGCAAAGCAGCCTCAGAGACCCTCATGTGAGCCAACACAAGTGTGTACTTGCTAAAAGCATGTTTCGTTATGCAATCATTAGATGTCTCAGCTTAAATCCTGCCCACTCCCTTGCAGCCTGGAGAAAGACACTACAGCACAGGTCATGGTGCTGGCCAAGACACTGCTTTCTCTTGGCAAGACACAGGAGGACACACACTGTAGGCTCACTTGAGGCCAGAGACCCCCATGCCAGGAGAGACCTTTAGTTGAACTGGCAACTTGGGATCAGAGATATTCCAAAAGATAGCCCCTGTGTTTTTGGAAAATCCAACCCAGGGGGCGTTGCTTTGGAGAAGGAATTCCCTCCAAGTGGCCTCGAGATGAGCAGATGACCCAGGGCAGAACTCCGGCCCTGCGAACCCAGCCCAAGGGGTGGCCAATGCCCCCCAGCTTGTACGGTCATCTATGTGCAACAGAAGTTTCTCCTAAAACCAACAACGCTTGACTCCATTCAGAAATCGGAGAGTCTTCGGGTCACTGAAGTCAGGGGGCAATTCTTGACGGTGCCCCGGGTTCAGAAAGCAATCATTGTGGTCCTAGGCACGTTAGATAGTTCATCCTCCTGGGAAGCCAAGGTCAGTGCCATGGCATCTTCTGGGGAAGACGGGGCGGGAGGGGGGGGGTGGTTCTGCAGGTGATCATAGGCTACATGACTTTCTCTTAGACATTTAGACTGGTTCTGAGAGAGGGGTCTCCCGGTGAGTCATAGGAGGGGGGAATGATTCAGCACCTTCTCAGGCCTCAGTTTGGTGGGGGTTTGGGGAGAAGGAGAAAGCTAGGCTTTTCTAGGACCTTCTTCAGCTACTTCAGAACCTGCTTCTTGACAGCTTCTCTGGAGCTATGCCTACAGAGTCCAAGTCATTGAACTCAAAAACCCAGGGGACCCAACCACCCTTCCCTGTGCTGATGGGGGCAGCTGGACTTCCGTCTCACCCATGCCCAGGGCTGCAATCAGAGCCTCCCCAGGCCTGGCAGACACTTTTTCAGGGCCCTTAGATGGGAGGGGGCCCTGGTCTTGCTCGCCAGGGGAGGGCAGAATCCCTGGTTTTCCTTCCGTATCTGACAGGGCACCGCAGCGTGCCTGGTGCCCAGCAGAGCTGAGGGAATCGTGTGAAATGAACACACACACAAACACGTCTTTCTTCCCTCGTATGACAGTGGCAATGAATTAGGAGGATGGTCTTGGGCCCCTTTACACACCCACCGATCTACCTTCATTTTTTTTCTACTGATGGTTGATGATTCTGGAAATTGCCAGAGTCTAGGGACTACCTTTCCCCAAACAGGCAAGGGATGCATGATGATGGGTTAGCTAGTTTGTTTGGCTCAAGAGCACGCACAACCGGCCCTCTAGTGATGTCTCCTGATATCACTATCTTGTCTACCAAGCACAAATCCTCAGTCCCCACCGTCAATACAGGTACTGAATAGGATTTTCTTTGATCCCCCACCCCCCACTCCTTCTCCTTTCACATTTCTTTTTCTCTTTAAATGTCTGGTAACTGCTCGGGTGATAGTATCCGAGCATCAAAACTCACACTGGATCTTGGGTACTTCTCTCCCTAGCCCAATACCTTTCAGTTCACATTTGGGAAAGGGATTGATTTCATTTGTCTGAACTGGTCAGTGTTTCTGCATACCACACGGTGACCCTTGGAAGCCTGCATACGCACTCCTTAGGCTGTCCAGGGTCCTGAAAACAAAGGCCATCTTCCTGGTCCCAGGTGCTTGGGGCATGTTCCTAGTTTTCACAATAGGATTACGATGCCGCCAATTCTCTGGGTTCTGCCAATGCACTTTCATTTCCTGGGCGGGCTGAAGAAGCCCTGGGGTGTCTGAAGTGACAATGTCCTGTGAAGAACCAGTTCTTTTGGGTTATTCCACCCCCCTGCTCCTTTGTCTGACAAAAGGAGTTTCACACACAGGAACCGTTTGTTGCCTTAAATTATGTTTCACCTCAGACCCCAAGTTTCTCTGCTCCCTCAAAGCCAGCCCTGTGGCCAGTGCTGTCTGTGGGCAGAAAACCCAGGAAGGTTTGGTTTGGTTCGGTTCGTTCTCTTGAAAGGTGTTGGGTCTTTAAAAGGATATTTTCCAGAAGAGGACTCTGTTTTCTTCACTGGACCAGGAAAACTGCTAAGGTGCCTTTCACTTACCCATTCATGAGACGTATTTTGTTTGGGTCTAGATGAAGCGAGACACTTCGTTAGGTGACAGAGATGTACTGGTAAGCAAAGCAAACCCAGTGCCTACCACCAGGACTTTAAGATCAAGCAGGGTGGCCACACGGCCTGTTGACAAGTTTAGGAAATAACACCCGTGCCCAAACCTCTGTAGCTTATAGCCAAGAACCAAAGGCAGCCCTGCCCTGGCTTTGGTTGGACTCCAGGGTCACTCATTTGGGTTAGGGGATGGGAGGGCTTTGGACCAAAAATCCGGGGAGTTCCTCCCGGGCGCCTCTCTCTGTAAGATACAGAGGCTGGTGAGTTCTGCAGGAATACCCTTCAGTACCAAAGCAGCACCAGGTGCGCAGAGAGAGAGTTTGACTCATTCCGCAGCATGTCTCCCCCTTTGGGTTCCAAGAACTCATCTCCAAACCGAAAGGTGATCGAGAACTCGATACTTTCTGGTGGAAGATTCCAGGAAAGGCACCATCAAGATCCAAGTCTTTGGGAAGGGGCCTGGGCTTCTAAGACCACTGTCCTGGATGGCATGCCAAGCCACATGGAAAGGGGTCTCACTCCTTCTGATGGTCAGAAGTTCAACTAATCAACCACTGAGTATGTATGAGCTTCGTGTTTGATGGCCACCATCACGCATGCGGATCTCCCACCTCGGACTTCAAGGTCAACACCCATCCATTCGAGGGACTCCCCTCCCACAAGTGAGACTCCCTTCCTACTATGCAAGATGCTCTCTCCTGCCTGGTGACCTCCAAGTTTGGCTTTAAGCTCCTGTTCTTCATCATTACTGCACTCAGAGGTGCTCGCAGGGGCCCCGAGAACATGTGAGCCGAGGAGCCAGCGTCTGAGCATGTAGCCCCTCTCCCCACCGATGCTTAGGACCTCGCCTTAAGTAACGATAAAAGCATCAGCTAGATATCCATCACAGCTACCAGACTTTTGACAAGACCATGAGGGAGCTCAGGGTCCTGTGTCTATGTGGACATCTACTTGGACCAGTTCAATCATCTTGGTAGTTCATGGCAACCACCCATGGCCAGTGCTTCAAACCCCAAACCAAACTCACTGCCACTGAGTCCAGTCTGACCAACAGCCAGCCTCTTGGAATGGGTAGAACGGCCCCTGCAGGTTTCTGAGACTGTAACTCTTTCTGGGAGTAGGAAGCCACCTCTTTCTCCCTCGTAGCGGTTGATGGTTTGAACTGTTGACCATTGTAGTTAGCAGCCCAATGGATAACCCACTCTGCCATCAGGGCTCCTTAGACTAGTGCTTAGATGTGTGAAGAGAGCAGGACCACAATGCATAGCAGAGTCAATGAACCAAGCTTCGAGGATGCATTCCCCGCCAACGTCCTTCAAAGGACAGCACTCAAGAGGCCACCGGTGGGCGTGTGCTCCATCTTGGTCCGTGCACAGCACAGCAGGGCAGTGCTCTGCAGGTTGGCTGGTTGTGCGTGAGTTGGTCTGATGGCTACATCGGTTTTACTGTTTTCATTTAAAATAGAAATATTTCCCATTTGCATGTGATGAAAGGTAGCTGGCTCATATTATTTTATTTCTAGACCCCAAATACAATTCCTTGGGTGGGTGTGTTTTGTGGTTAAGTGTGGACTTCCCCTCCTCCTGGGCACACTACGGCATGGGCGCTTTCCACACACCCAGGGGACTGGGATTGTGGCGCTGTTTCTGGGTCCCAATGTGGGAATGGCCAAGTGGGGTGTTGAAAGGTGTAGGGGGGGCTGGGAGCCAGCAGTTGAGTCCCAGCTCTCTATGAGCTGACGGATGACCTTGGGAAGGTTCCTGGGACTGAGCCAAAGACACCTCCTGGACCAGATGGCCTCTCTGCACTCCCGTGGGCTGGTTTCTATGGTATGCGCTTTGTCCGTAAGTACCTAATGTGGGGGAGGAACGTGGTTCGGAACCTGATTTTCAAGACACTGAGCGTACTTCTCGCCCAGAGGGGGCTCCCCCCACCCCCGTGCTTCCCCTACATTTCATCCTCTTTGGCTACCTAAGATGGGAAGGACCAATATTTTCAATTGAGTGTGTGAATGTGCCCGCCCCGCCCACTCTGGACGCTTCAGGAAGACTCTCCTTGGGGTCACCACAGGGCTTTCCAGATGAGGAAAAGGCTCAGGACGAGGCAATGACAGACCGAGGGAGGTTCCTTTGCTAGTTTTTTAAATGGTTGTGTCAGCTTTTCTGTAATAAAAATAACTTGAAAATGTCTTGGTATTGGGGGCTAACGACTGTCTTGGTCTTCCCAATGCCAGATCAATGGGCAACCTATTGATACTCACGGTGGGTTTTTTTGTGGGGGGTGGGGTGTTCTTGCTTCATAGAGAAACCGGTGTCACTGCAGTGTTGAACACAAAGGGTCAGTGGTCTTAGAAATAACTTAAAAACGACCGTCTCTGCTTACCAAACCCAACCCCAAACCAGACAACAGAGCCAAGTTTGGCAACAATTTCTCCCTGGGCTGGTCCACCCAGGGTTCAAAGTAAGAAGAGCCGGTGAACAGGTCCCTAGAAGAGATTGGCGGTATCATTTATATAGTGTAAAGTCATGCAAACCATGCTGAAAGGAGGCAGCTTCACTGTGATGGTGTGGGGGATGGGCAAGGCCAAGGCAAGCCCCTGCCCGGATGGGCACCCCCCCACGCCCACGCATGCATCTGAATGCAGTCATTGGTGGCCCCACGGGTAAGCTTTGGGTGTGAGAGCAGTGAGCTATACAAAGTCTGTCTACATTACAAGGGGGAGCCAGCCAGTGACCCCCTTAAGTGGGTTTGTTGGAAGGGGTCCAGATCGAATCGGAGATTCCATCCCCTGTGGAAGACAGAGGCATGGAGCCGCTGGGCGTGAAGGGGTCCGTATCGGTGTCCGTCTCCCCCTCCGCCAGGTACCGCTTCTCCCGCATCCAGCTGGAGCCCCCGCTGGGGCCGAACACGTAATCGTCTCGGTCCTGAGAGATGCTGAAGCCACTGGGGGACCGCTCCAGCTCCTCGTGGTTGACGGACATGAGCGACAGCGGGGTGTCGCTGTCCCGCGTGATGCTGCGTCTCTGCCGCGGGGAGCGGCGGTCCGAGAACGGGCCGTGCAGGTCCGTCTGGTAGTCCAGGAGGGTCAAGATGGGCAGGACGGTGGGCCTTTCTGGGAACATCGTGGCCGTGCAGGGCAGGGCTGTCTGCCCCTTGCCTGAACCGAGGCCCCCCGGGGGCAGGTTCACCGGGTCGTGTGCAAAAAGCCCATAGGGGCTGACTTGGTCGATGGGCACCTGGTGGAAGCTGTAGGGGGCCTCTGGGGGGCCTGTCTCGGAGTAATTGCAGATGATGGTTTTCAAGTCTGAGTACCTGTTCTCCTCTTTTTGGTCCAGGTCGGCTGGCGAGGAGGGCACCTTGGTGGGGTAGTAATCCGAGAGGTGCACCTGTAGCCGCTCCATCCGCTGCATGTGCATGTCCACCAGGAAATCCAGCTTCTTCCCCATGTCCTGAACCTGGAAAACACGACCGGAAATGACATCTTGCCAGGAGGGGGGCGGGACCTCGCTCACAGGTGGGAGGAGCTAGTCCCATTTACTTTTAGCTAGGAGGCCAGTGGCGCTGTGGGTAGGCGTTAGGGCTACTAATTGAAGGATCAGCCATTCAAACCCACCAGCTGCTGCACGGGAGAAAGATGAGGCTGTCTGTTCCCATAAAAATTTACAGCCGTGGCAACCCTAGGCTGGGTCACTATGAGTTGGAATCCACTCGACGGCAGTGGGTTGGGTTTGGATTTTTGGTTTTCCTTTTAGTAAGTCCCCTGTGCTTGACTGCTCACCACAGGGTCATGAGTTCAAAACCACCAACCACTCCACAGGCGAAAAATGAGACTTTCTAGTCCGGTACAGTTATAGTCTTGGAAACTCACAGAGGCAGTTCTAGTCTGTGCTATAGGGTCTCTATGAGTTGGAATTGACTGTGTGTGTGTGTATGAGAGAGAGAGAGAGAGAGAGACTGACTTCAGGAAAGACTTACAGACTCAGAAACCCACACAGGCGGTTCTATGCTGTCCTATAGGGTCATTATGAGTTGCCATCAACTTGAAGTCAGTGAGTTTGGTTTTGATTTGAGAGAGGTTGCCCAGAGGAGTCCTGGTGCTAGTGGGGTATGCGGTGGGCTGCTCCCCGCAAGGTCAGTGGTTCGAAACCCCCAGCTGCTCCGTGGGAGAAAGATGATTCACAGCCTCGGAATTCCACAAGGGGAAGCTGTACTCTGTCCTACAGGTTGCTATGAGTCGGAATCAATTTGAGGGCAGTGAGTTTTGTATTTTCAGGTGGCACAAATAATCTGAACTCAACAACTAACCTGAAGGTTGGTGGACCGAACCCCGGTGCGATACCACATAAGAAAGACTCCCCGTTGAGATTCCCCCAAAGTCAACATTTTGGTTTGGATCAGACACAGCCGAGTCCAGGCTTCCCAGAAAGCCGAGGCTGGAAACTGAGAGCTTGCTTGCGGCCAGCCTGACAGACCTGCTTCGTGCCTTGAGGAGGAGATGGCCTGGCTGTGCTTTGTGGGCCAGGCAGCGCGAGCTCTGTATTTGCAAATGTTTTTCCAGATGGAAGGCCATGGCACGTAAGGTACAACATTCACTAAGAGGCAAGCGAAACTACTGCCTGGCTTTCGGGGGACTTCAGGGAATGGGCTTGGTTTAAGGCCTAAAGAGGATCTCAGTGAAGGGTTTCAGGGGTTTGCTCAGTGTCCATGGCTCCAGAAAGTCTGGATTCCAGGAGGGTCTGAAGTACGACTTGGCACTTCTCCCTCTTTTGATCAGGATGGTCCATGCACACCCTGAGTATCAAAGGAGGGCCCCAAACCAAGCTCACTGCCATCGAGTCAATGCTGACTCATACAAACCCCTTGTGGGTTTCCGGAACCGTAATTGTTTACGGGAGCAGAAAGCCCCGTCATTCTCTGGAGGAGCTGCTCGCGGCTTTGAACTGTGGACCATGCGAATTACAGCTCAATGTGTTACCACGATCCCACCAGGGTTCCTCCTAGAGGAATGGTAGTTAACAAAAATTGAGCCTCAAAGACCCAGAGACCCTGCCTCGGAGCCTGGGGACCCCCAGAAGCTACACTTTCCCTGAGGCAAGCCTCCCTGGCTCCTGTCCACTCACGGAGGCCTTGTCTGAAGCTTAACGTGTGAATATCTGCCTGTGTGTGGGTGTGCAGGCCTGGCTATCCACCTCTGACGGGAGCACGGCAGGCAGCCATCGTGAAATCCTGCTACCAGGGCGAATACTGAGCCGCAGAACGGCAAAGGCAGGCAAGCGTACAGGCCTTCCTAGTGATTCATACGCCGATGGCCGTTCAGCTCAGATCTAGTCCTGCTTATGCCTTGGAAAGCCACGAACCCATTTATTTTCACGACGACTCTGCAGGATGCAAAAATACTATCTCTGTTCAACAGACGAACAAGTCAGATGAGAGCTGTCACAGACCAGAGGCCTGGTAAATGGAGACACAGAGATGGAGGGTGAACATAAAAATGAAGAGGGATAGTTACGATATGCAATCAAAAGAGCATTGCCTCATAGAAAAAAATGAAAGGATTGGTATAAATGCCAGGGGTGGGAAGAGGGGATTGGCACTGCCATCGGGTTAGTGTAGTCAGGCAGAACGAGCTCAAACGTTCAAGCTTCTTGCTTCTAGGGCAAGAGGCAAGATGCTGTGGGTGAAAGCTTTCTTGTCATGTCCTGGACAACCCCATCCCTTGTGAGCTCTGCTCTGGCCCTCTTCACGCTGGCCGCTCACTGACCTGGACATGGGGGGAAGGAGGACTGGAGCCCTGGTGGAAGAAGGAACGAACATTTCTTTGTATTGTTTAATCTATTCTGTGTCTTTGTGATTGTGGAAAACGTACACAGCAGTGCATGCACCAATTTCTATGTATACCTGGGTGGTAAGGATCCCATCTCAATGACCCACACCCTCCTGTTCCAAATTGTTTCTCCACCAGGAACATGGAGTCTCTCTCTGCCTGCTGTTTCTCCCCTAAGCCTTTGAGTGCGATTGGCGGATAATACTTTCAACGAGCATGCTGCTCAAGGCAGACCCTAATTAGTCAGCAAGCTAAACTATTGTCTGTTTTTATAAGAAGACACCAGGGAATATTTTGGTTTCAGGTTGAAAATGTAACTCTTTGGGAGGCTTATCCAGTCACTCGGGCTCCAGAAAGCCTGGATTCCATAAGAATTTGAAATTACGTTCAGCATTTCTCCCCCTTTTTGATCAGGGCTCTTGTGTGGCTATAACATCAAGAGAGGATGGTCATGATAGCCGGGCACCATCCATTTCTTCTGGTGTCATGGCACAAGGAGGCAGTTGCAACGACCATTCCTTAAGGGACCACCACGAGGCAGTTAATGTGCCGCCCATTTGTAGATGTTGTCCCACTGAATCTGTTTAGAGCTCCGCATAATCATATGAGCCACCATTCGCTGAGCACTTGCTATGCTGTCCTTAACTATCCTAGACAATGTCCACGTGCCCATTCATTTCATCCTCACTGCAGGGGACACAGAGCCTCAGCACAGCCCATCAGCTCGCATCTAGCCATGGACATTGAGTGTGAACTCACCAGACTTGTGTCCTGCGTCCTTGTGAGCATTGCGGAGGGCCGCGAGAGGCTGCTACCTCCCTGTGCGGAATGGCTTTTGGAGACGAATGTGCGGCCGTCAGTTGTTTCTCTGGAGGGGCAGGAAGAAGCTTACCTGTCTTTCAACTTTCACGAACTTCCCCATCATGCTCTGGTCCTCCGTTTCTGAGGTGGAGGCTCTGGCTACATATGGTTCATTCCTAGGAGAAAGCCGACAAGGACATCAGTCCACCCTGTCCCATGTCCCTGGGAGGGTGGGAGGCCTAGGCAGCTGGGTGGTGATGCTCCTTTTCCCTGGGAGTCAGGGAAAGCCAGCGGAGCCCCCAAGTCAGCATGGCACCAGGGTCCCCTGCTTTGGTTCACGGCAGGGACACAGGAAGCCAAGCATCGGGCCACCAGTAAGGAGTCTGTTTTGCAGCAGCGGGACACCACGTGGGTGGTGCAAGTGAGGACTGCTCAGCTGCTCACCGGAAGGGTGGAGGCTTGAGCCCACCAAGAAGCGTCTCAGAAGAAAGGCCTGGAGATGGACTTTTGGGGAAAAACCAGCCGGACTCAACTGGATGGCCACCAGCATTGGCTGCCGTCAAAGTTCATGAAGCAGCTAACTGAGTCACAAGTTGGAGCCCCGGTAGAGTAGTGAGTCACGAGTTGGGCTGTTAACCACATGCCAGGGGTTTGAAACCACCCACCACTCCATGGGAGAAGAAGAGAGGCTTTGCACTCCCATAAAGAGTTACCGTCTTGGAACCCACAGCATCCCCTCAATTCTTTTACATTAAATTCCTTTGCGTGTCAATCTCAGACTATTGCTTGGTTGTGTGTGTGTGTGTGTGTGTGTGTGTGTGTGTGTAGGGGAATGAGTCTGATCTCTGAAATTCCAAGCAGGGAAAACGACACCCAAGGTAGTGCTGGTGGGTGGTGGGTTTGGGGCTGAGAAGCCGGCACAGGTGAAGGTCGGCCTGACTTCCGGTGAGTCTAGTATGTCCAGCTTCCACCGACCTGAGAACTCTCAGGAAGCCTTTTCATATTGCTCCAACCTGCACGGGGTCACGAGGCAGCTGCAGGACCAGCCAGCACCTGGTTCCTTGTGCAATGGGGTCACTGTGTGTCAGGGACTGACTCCCAGTCAGCCTCTAACAACAGCAACAAGACGCTGCTCACAAGCAGCAGCTGGGCACGCTGTAGCCACGGCCCACCCTGGCCCTCAGGGCTCCGCAGCTACTGCATTTATCACAAGCGCCCCGGAAGTCTACCAGCGCCATTTCTCCAGCATCGTGGGCTCACTTCCTGTCTCTGAGGCCCACGTTGGCCATTCTCACGACATTTCACACTCTGTCACACTGCTGCTGCACGCATCACCTGGCTGTGCACTGGGAGATCGAAGATGGGTGTGGCTCCCTTGATTGAGAGCTTCACCTGATGCAGCACTCGGGACCCAAACCTGCAGCTGCTGGCTCCTGCCAAGGCCCTGAGGCAGTTGGCTGGGAAGTCTTGGACTAAAGGGAAGTCTTGAACTGGTGCTGTGCATACATCCAACTTCTCTCTATCATGGAGTCAGTTTGTGACTCACAGCAACCTTGTCGGAGAAGGTAGAACTGCCTCTGTGGGTTTCCAAGACTGTCATTATTTATAGGAGAAAGCCTCATCTTTCTCCTGCAGAACCAGTGGTGGTTTTGAACGGCTGACCTTGTGGTTCACCGCAGCTTAACATCTAACCACTACGCCACTAGGTTCCTTCACTGGCTTTTCTTGCCCAGAGCAGAATTTTGCAACACATACAGCATCTGGATAGGGGGCCTCAGCAGGATACGCTGCAGGATGTAATTTAGAGCTAAGGCATGCATGCAATAAAGGCGCACAGAATGGATGCTGTCAGTGGTCAAGGGGATCTGGCTGCGCTGCTGGGGAAGGCTGGCTCTGAGCGCTGGTTGTAAACCTTTTTTTTTTTTGCACACTTCTCTGCACACACACTGAGAGGAAAGGAAGGGAGCTTTTCCGAAGTGGATCTGGTGGCCCCTGAGCCCACTGCTCACCGCTCTGGCCCTCGAGCCCCACCTGGGAGACTGCTGGGACGGGTGGGTGAATGCAGCCCCCTTCTGAGACTTCTTGTGTTTGGGAGTGGACGGTGGTCCCGGGGTGAAGATCATATCTATTCTGAAAGAGAACACACAGATGGAGGGGTGTTATATGCCCAGGAAAACCAAGATGGCCAGCCCCTCCTGAGTCAGGATGGGTTTGGAATATGGAAGAGGAGGAGAGAGAGGAGGGAGAGAGGGAAGGGAAAGAGGGAGAGGAACAGGAGAGGAAGAGAGCGGAGAAGAGAGAGGGAGGAGAGAGAAAGAGGAAAGGCTGTACCCTGAGCCCTCTGTTTGCCCTGTGGATGGAGCCCAGCTGTTCAGCCCTGGGGAGAGGGTGGCTGCGTGCCCACTACGACAGGGTCAAAGTCTCAACTTGTTCCCCCTGTATAACATGTCATTTGTGCCTTCAAGTCTACGCTGCCTTCTGGGTTCCATTCTTCCTGAAAGAATCTAAGTCAGGCATGTCTTTGCCAAGTCCCGGCTCCCTTGGTGACTCTGCAGAGCCCTGCTGTCCCACCGGCTTCTCTGACCACTTACGGGGCACATCTGGCGCCAGCTCCAGCCTCAGCTTCCATTCCTGACCCCAGACACGGTCCAGCTCGATGGGGCAAAAGTCCTCCTCGACCGTGTCCTTGGGGCTGGGGTGGGGAGGGGACTAAAGGACAGGGGGGAGGTTCATGGAGGGCCCAGAACCATTAAGGCCATGCCCTCAGCCCAGCAACAGCCTCAGGTGACTGTCTCTTACCTAAGGTGACCAGACGTCCCGCTTTTTAACAATTTGTCCCGCATCCTGTAGTGTTTTTAAAAAGTCCCAATTTTTGGAAAGAATGCTCGACAAGCTAGGGAATGGCAGGAGAACGGGAAGACCAAATTTTTAATCAAGAACACCCTCCCCACCCCCTGGTCAATGGTGTCTCACTTTACCAATGCTTTAGCAATGTTAAAATCTGGTCACCTTAGGAGTCTTACCTGAAAACCCGGCTTTCCCCACAGACACCCCCATCTGCTACACCGACCGCCCTCTCTCCCAGGCCCAGCGCCAGAGCAGCGTGGGGCAAGGACACACTGCCAGTAGCCCAGGCAGCCACCCTCCAGAAACACTTTGCACCGAGGGAGACCCGTGGCCACACAATGGTCCACCTTATGGGTGTCCGCTATGTCCTATCATCTGGTGGCAGGTACCAGACCTACAGGATGGCACAAGAGGCAGGCAAAGGAGCCACACCTGGTCGACCCACTCATTCAGCAGACACTGAGCTGAGCACCGACTATGTGGCCGCCAGGATGCTGGGCCGTCAGCATAGGAATTCCAGGACAAGGTCAGCTCACCTCCAACCACCTGTAGCACCCCCAACATGCCGCCCACACCCTGTCTATGTTCCCTCTGGCCCCACAGGATATCCTGGAGGAGACTGTGACTTGCATCGGGGAGGTGAAGGTCAGAGAAGTGGTTATAAAACATCCCCCAGCTCCGGGGATGGGCCCCACCCAGGACCTGATCATTCTGATGGTCAGCCCTAGCTTTCTGGGCTTCACTTTCAAGTTTTCTTTTTAAAAAGTTATTTTTATAAGCCACAGAAGATTTGATACATTTAAAAAGTAAGGGTGGGGGAATCGCACATAGTCCCTGCCCCTCCCGTCCTTTTATTGTCTTTCTTAAAGAACAGAGTTTTACTTTTCACCTCTTTCTAAAGGAGTCTCGGTTGTGTTAAGGGCTGCTCACTGCAAGGTCAGTGCTTCACACCCACCAGCAGGAGGAAGATGAGGCTGCCCTCTCCCATAAAGATCGGCAGCCTCAGAAACCCTAGGTGGGGTCACAGTGAGTCAGAATCAACTTGATGGCAGTGTTTCGTTATTCCCCGCCCCCCCCTCGGAGGCTAAACATCCAAACGAGGGTATGTTAAGTTAATGAGAGCAGATACCAGATTCTCATCACCTGTGGCAGTTACATAATCTCCTGTCAACCTGAGTGGCGGAGCGGAGACGAGGCTATCAATCAGGTCACAGCTTGACGACCTCATTTGGAGGCACGATGGAGATAATTAGCTCACTGGAGGCCAGACCCACTCTTTCTGCCTTCCCTTTCCTGCTGTTGAGACCCTCAGAGAGCTGGAGGAGACACATGGAGACCCACACCAGTGTTGAGATGCTTCCACTGTCACTGGATCCACAAGACCTTTTACCCACTGGCCTGTGATCTTCCTACACTCAGCACCATTGCATGTGCTACATGACTCTAAAGAGGAATCTATGGACTAGCATTGGACATAGGGGCTAATATAGGACTTATGGACTTGATCTGGACTGGGCTGAGATGTTTTCTCATTATACAATTGTTCTTCATATAAAGCTCTTTCTTACACACGAGTGTCTCTGGACTTGTTTCTCTCATCAACACAGACTAACACATCACCCAAGGGTGGTGTGTGGGAGAAAACAGAGGCGTGGAAACCCCTTGGGCCCAGCCTCTCTCTCATCTCTGTTAGCCTCCACTGTGAAGGGCCACCTCCAGCTGAATGCCTTATAGCTTGGGTTCTAAGGGCTTAGACCAGCGGAGGGACTCAGTCGTTCGCAGTGGGTCAGCAGAGCTGATGCCCAATTTTTGTTGACTTTGGTGAACCAGTTGTTAAAATGGCCTTTGTGATCAGGGTTCTAAGGTGGGCTGCTGGGCAGCTTCCCAGTGTGGAAATCACACATTTGCATGCCTTCCTCTATTTTAATGTTCATCAGAGCAACAGCGAATCCCAAGTGCCCCTGGTAGTGTTCACTCCATCCCAAGTATAAAAAAATTAGACAGAACTATACTTGTAATAAAAGCAAAGGATATTGCAAGTGAGGCTGTCCATCAGGAAGCCATGTGGACATAGCTTAAATAACAGTTTTATTGTTTTGTCAGTCAGGTATCATTTAATAGTTTCAAACTCATAACAGAATCTAGTTTCATGTACGTCTTAGATTGTTCTTATTTAAGAATTAACTACGAAACAATAAACTACATTTTGGCAGATCTTTTTCTTGACTTAAAATAGTCATTAGGGCAGCATTACATTATTTGAATCCGACCGCTGGGTTAGACCGAGTTAGTTAATTGTGCCAACCTGGCTGATAAACACATGTGGGGCTAATTGAAAGGCGGAGGGATAAATGGGTGGTGAGCCTTGCCTTTCTAGCTCTCGGGTCTCTTGCTTTGTGATGGTCGCACTAGGGTGCAGCTGCCTTAGCAGTTCCCTGCTTCAGCTTGCAAGATTGACTTCCTACAAGATATCCCCTAGGAGAAGCCACATGGACCTATCCTGATGCAGCCATGGGTGCTGGTGCAGCCGTGCGGAGACCCCTGCTAGTGCTGAGATGTTTATTCGTTCACTGACTCAGCTTTCCTCCTACAGTCGGCATCATTGCCTCTGTTTTGTGAGGTGGAGGACTTTGTGGACTGGTGTTGGGTTAATGGGTTAATAATGTTGGACTTGTGGGCTTGGGCAGCATTGGGTTGGGATGTTTTCATGATGCACACTTTCTTTACATAAAACTCTCTTGTACATGAGTTGCTGTGGATTTGTTTCTCTAAAGTACCTACACTAATACAGACCCATATAGGGAACACACACTGGCTCTCAAGAACACTCTCTGAATTATCTACGTAGCGAGGCACCGAGGAAGCATCTCCCGCTTCCTTACTGTATGTAATGTTCTATCCCATTCCCTGCATTTCGGGTGCTTTTGTCCACCTTTCCCTTAAGCCCAAGGGTTCGCTGGGCAGGAGAATACAGCCAGTCCCTCCAGCCTCCACGCCTCACCTGGTCTGCAGGTACTTGATCCTGGACAGCATGTCCAGGTGGCCGGCCGAGTACTGCTCGATCACATCCTTCACGTCGTACGGCCTCAGCGTCTCCTTGAATTTCTTCTTATAGAGACGGAACTGGAGAATCCTGCAAGGCCGAGCAGGTGCATGGTATCCGAGTCACGGGCGGGGAGGGAGGGGAAGCCGAACACAGGGCTGGCAGACTCCCGGCCAATGAGGAAGACGGGACCGGTGGGGGAGCCCTGCCAAGGCCAGGCACTTGTTCTATCCCTGTGACCATTCAGAATGAGGTTGGCGCACCCCTCGCCTTTCTGAACACCAGCCTGAGATCATGTGACTGATAAGAAACACTTGATAATGAAGTTCTTGTGGTTAGGTGCTGCTTTATCTTGCCCCTACCTGCAGCAGCGGGACACACTGCCCTGGACCACACCAGCCTCCTTGTGGTTGTTTTATGAGGTTTGCCTCCATGATTGCAGCCACTAGGGCAGTGGTTCTCAACGTTCCTAAGGCTGCGACCCTTTCATACAGTTCCTCATGTGGTGGTGACCCTTCAACCATAAAATTATGTTCGTTGCTACTTTTTGCTACGTTGTCATTTTGCTACTGTGATGAATCAGGCGACCCCTGTGAAAGGGTCGTTCAACCCCCAAAGGGGCCCTGACCCACAGGTTGAGAACCGCTGCACCAGAGCAATAAGACGGAGTACTTAAGGAGCACTCCTTCCAGGCCAGCATGGAGTTGCCTGCAGGACAAAGACAGCGGACAGGAGATGGATAAAAAAGCAGCTCTGAGACCCTCGGCATCTCCCCAGGGCCACCCCACTGGCTTCACAGACCCCGCTGGGTGTGTCTGCAGAGCTCAGGCTCATGAGTGTCTTGCCCTGGCTTTTCCCTGGCTTCTCACAGCGTGGGGCACCCAGAACAGATACACAGGGCCGCTGTATAAGAGCTGACGTTCTGAGCACCTCGCCTGCAGGAGGCTGTGGAGAATAACAGTGAAAACCCAACATCCATTTGCACATCCCCACGTCGATTAACCCAAACGTTCACTACTCATAGTAATGACAGGGTAGAACTGCCTCTGTGGGTCCCGAGACTGTAATTCCTTACGGGAGTAGAAAGCCTAGTCTTTCTCCTGCGGCCTGCCTGGTGGTTTCAGGCTTTGCCCGATGGGTAATCCAAGCCTCCTTTAAATTCCTTCTGAAGTTTAACCAGGGACACAGATAATCTTGCCCTCAGGCAGAGGGCTTTGGAAAGTGGGTTACCTCTAGCCCTCTCCAGTCAGCCCAGGGAGAGGCAATTGCTCTTAGGGCTTGCTGGGATGTGTCCTAGATGGGGATCAACATAAGGGGGTCCCAAGAGTCATGCCCTATCATTTGTGCCTTGACCACCTAGCTCAGAAGGTCCTGGACTGATTTTGCAAGTTCTTCGATCTAACAGAATAGTCGTGCCCCAATCGTGGTCCTGTTCCCCCTTCCTTCTGTAGTTCCGCCTGTCACTGTAATGCATTGATCTGACACCCATGATAAATTTGTGATTGCTTCTTGTGTCCCAAGGGGCCCCGGTGGCGTCGTGGGTTAGGCGTTGGGCTGCTAATCACAAGGTAAAGTTTGGACCCACCAGCCACTCTGCGGAAGAAAGATGAGGTTTTTACTCCTGCGGAGAGTTAGTCTTGAAAACTCACAGGGGCAGTTCTCCTCTGCCCTAGGTCACTAGGAGATTCGAGTCCCTTTGTTCCATGCCGCGTTTAACTAGCATCCTGACCCAACCCTCAGACGCCATTATGACCTCGTGAAAATGGTCCCCCTCATCCAGATGATGTGCCTACATCTCCCAGTTGTCTCTGTCCCTTTTCAGAATTAATAAATGTTCTTACATTACATTTGAGATTGGGGTGTCTTCTGTACCCCAAAACACCACCCTCACCTCCATCACCTCATCACCCAGATAGCCAGTGCTCCGTGAGGGTATACCAGGAGGTTGACTCAGCCGAGCCCCTCAATCAGTGTCAGGAAGCCCCGCCTGCCGCCATGGCCTCCAGCCCAGTACTCGAACCATTAGATCTGATGGTGCCTTCAAAATGCATCTTTCTCATCTTGAGCGAGGGGTTCGGACCCAGGAATAATGGCGAGGATGATGCTGGACGGGGCTGGGTTTCGTTCTGTTGAACGTAGGGTTTCCATGAGCCAGAACCGACTTGACTCACCCGGCAACAACCACCAGTTATGAACCCGGGCAGCGTGTCCTCACCCGCTGCACTACCCTCATCCCGTACAGACGGTGTGGCGAGAAACCGGCCGTGGATTATAACACCACTGTAGTTGCCTGAGCTGCTGGATGAGGAATCATTCAGAAAACATCATGACGAGTTCTTGGAAGTTCCAACTGTCTCCTCCCCGAAGGCCAACTGCCATGTCCTGAGGACGTGTGGCTGTGGCAGTGACAAATCCCCTGTCAACTTGAGGGAAGGGGTGGAGTCTAGCCTGTCAATCAGGTCACAGGCAATGAGGCCTCTGTGTGGGCATGGCCTTCTCTTGAGGATTCTGGGAATGCCTGTCCTCCGTGGAGGTGGGACACACACTCTCCCTGCGAAACATTCCCGTGGACAAGACACATGGAGCTACGCTAGAGCCCCGGAGCCGGAGGAACCACATGGAGACCCATGCCCGCGCTGAGAGGCTTCCAGAGCCACTGGATCACAAGATTTTCCACGCACTGGCCTGTGATCTTCCTGCATTCGGGGTCATTGCATGTGCTGCGTGTGTCTGAAGAAGAATTTACAGACTGGTATCAGACACATGGGCTAATATCGGACTTACGGAGTTGATCTGGACTGGGGTGGGATGTTTTCTCAATGTACAATCGCTCTTTATATAAAGCTCTTTCTTATCCACATATGAGTGTCTTTGGGTTTGTTTCTCTAGTCCACCTGGACTAGCACAGTGGCCAGGCCCTGTGGGAAGGAAGAAGGAGAGGGGAGTCTTACCTGACTGCTCGGATGGCGGCCTTCAGGGTAGGGATCATGTCTTCAATGAGGAAGTCCCCCCCGTAGCCCCTGCCTTCTGCCATAGGATCGCCCGTCCCTGCATCTGGGAGGGAGACATACTCGTCAACGCCAGGCCACAGGACGGGGAAAGCTCAGGGACCTCATTCAGGGAAAGCCTTCCTGGCAACCGGCTTTGTCACCTCCGGTCTTTGCACCCACTTTGTGAGAACACATGACCTTCTCCAGGGAGGGGTCTGTGGCAGGTGCTACCCAGAAGCCTGAGCCCAGCCCCTTGGAGGTCCGGGCTTTTGTGGGGGTTGGGGGGGATGACTAGAAGGATGTGCCATGATTCCAGAGCCCCTGAAGGGTCCCCAAAAGGTCCCCTGTTAGCGTCTGACAGGACGGAGTATGGGTGCTTGCTCTATCAGCCACTCTCCTTGTGACCTCAGGGGGCCATTTGGTGATGCTCCAGTACCTCAGGCCGGCTCTGGCTATGATCAGAGCATAGATTCTTGCTCGGTCAGTGCCTCTGCTTGTCGCCTTGGGTGGCCATCTGAGAGGGTGCTGGCCGAGCTCTGACTGGGTGACTGTGGACACTGAGCACACATGCTTTCTGCTCCTCACGTCCTTCCACGTGTGACATGAAGGAGGCTCACAGGCGTTCATGATGCAGCCCTGGGGGAACCGAGGCCCCTCTCCCTCCTACAAGCTGGCCTCCCTGATAATTCCTGACCTGGTCCCCCCACAGGAACCATGGCAACAGGGCCCCAGGCTCCCGGAGGGGTTTGTGCCCATTCTTGGTGGTGAAAACCTGACTGGCGAGCCCCTCGAATGAGCCCACAGGACGTGGGGAAGATGGGGCAGGGAGCTGGTTGAGGGAGACTGGGCAAGGGTGACCGTGTGGCCCCCAGGAGACAGAGGGGAGGAGGGGCTGGGCCGAGGGGCCCGTTACCTTCGGAGCTCTGCCAGAAAGCGTAGGCTTTCATGCGGAAGGCGGTGCGGAATCGCTCTTTATGGTTTAAGCCCACAGGCTTTGGCTCTTTAGAAGGGCTTTCTTCTATCGCATCTACATTCAGAGGAGTAAATAGCTTTCCTTTAGTATTGCTACCGCGAGGATTAGAAAGGCGAACCCGATCCAAGAGACCCAGCTTTTGGCTACAAAATAAGCAAAAGTTAACAATTTTCCTCCCTCAGTGCAGGCTCTTGTAATTTCCGTCCCTCCATAAAGCCTCACACATTTTCCTCCACACGCGAACGGGGACCTTGCACAGACCCCACTCCTCCCCGGCTGCTGGATCGAGGGCAGTGCTTGGCTCAAGTCCTAACTGTGCTCCTGCACCCCCACCCCTGGGGGGCCCCGGGACTTAGCTTCCCTCGTCTCCTCATTTGCTTAATCCGTGAGGTTGAACCAAATCACAAGAACTCACTGCAATCGGGTCATTTCTGACCCCACACCACCCTATGTGGCAGGGTAGACCCATCCCTATAGGCCTCCAAGACTGTGAACTCTGTACAGGAGTAGAAAGCCTCATCTTTCTCCCGTGGAGCAGCTAGTGGTCTTGAACTGCTGACCTTGGGGTTGGCAAGCAGCCCAAGGCGCACCACTATGCCACCACGGCTCCGGCTGTGAAGTAGACGGGGAAGCAAAGTGCATGGACCGTCCCGTTGCCCAGAACGGAGCCGCAAACATCCCAAGCGTGGGCGTTCCCTGCAGTGTGCTCCATAGCTGGCTCTTGCTCATCAGTTTCAACCTCAGGGTAGCATGTGGCCCCTACCTCGATCCGGCTGTTGGATCCATTCACAACGAAATACATGTCCTCCCACGGCAGCCCACATGTGTTGTATTAATATTTTGAGAAACATGTTCCAATATAACCGGTTCCCTTTGTAAGTCAGGGGCATTTTTGTGTGGCCTCAACACTGCTACTTTAGGAAGAGGTCCATTGACTTGACTTGCCCAAAGGGTCCCAGTTCTGACTCATAAGGACCCTTGAAGACAGGGTAGAACTGCCCCTGGGGGGTTCTGAAACTGTAACTCTTTACAGGTGTAGAAAGTCAATGGGTGCAAACAGCTGACCTTTCGGGTAGCAGCCTCATTCGTCACCCACTCATTGTGCCACCGGGTACCCTTGGCCGAAAGGAGGCATGGCAAAATATCTGATCAGTGCATGCACGGGTGAGTGAGCAGAGGTCATTCCTGCCCGGTCCTGGGTGCGCCTGCTCACCCAGCCTATCCCAGCAGCACAGGCGAGGATCTAATTCACAACCTGCCCCGGGAACATTGAGAGGGAGCCCTGTGGTCAGCCAAGGCCACCTTCCTGCAGCACAATGCACCCCACGGGCTGCCTGGCTGGGGCTGAATGATGGACTAAGAAATCCAGGGGACAGGGTGGCTCCAGGTCGAACCCCACCCAGCTCACAGGCACCCCACAGGCAGGTCAAACTGTCTCTAAATGCAAAACGTTTCCGGGCTGTCATTTTTACAAAGCAGGCTTGCCAGATCTCTGTCCCATGGAGCTGCAGTGTGGGTTTGAAAGGGAGACGGCCGGGTCAACAGCCACTGCCCCACCAGGACTCTTGGAACGACTAACAGGTCAACCTGTTGGCTGTGCTCAGGGGCTGAATGTCATGGACAAAGAAGGAGGTTCCTACCCACGCACCAGCCAAGTCCAGGGGGCTTCAAGGCAACGACATCTTAGGTGATATTCTTTTTTAGCCCCTGCCCACTGCCTTCATGCATCTCTACACCAAGCTCCCTGACCTTCCCCCAAACCCTCCTGCATGCCGCAGCACACACGGGTCCCTGCACTGTCAAGCCTATGGAGCCTGCCCACCATGCTAGCTTTCAGACATGGTCACGCGTCTTGGCAATCACGCCCCCTCTGTTGTCTCTAGGGGTCTGTCAGAGCCTTTACCACCTGGGGTGGGGACTGAGCTTGTCACAGCCAACTTCCTGGCTGGATAACGCATCCGGACACGGTCAGTCCTGTCTGCTTACCTTCTGATCCCACCCCATGCATACTGAGGGTCCGAGGGCCCAACCAGAAGCCAGCCAGGGTGGCCATGTCCCCATGGGTACGGCTCAACCTCCCCATCCCCCAGCTTCCTCCCTCACAAGGAGATGACAGTCAGCCCAGATCCCCCCAGGGAGGTTGGAGGATTAAATCAGCTAGTGCTTTGGGCAGACTGGAAGCAGTGGATAAACGCCGGCTGTCACCATTATCTGGGTAAATCCTCCTCCTTGCTCAGGGCAGGAGAAGGCTGAGACACGGCAAAAAGGATGGATAAGATTTCCCGGACCCCTCAGGAACTGGTTATTTTATTATCTATATATTTTTTAATGCACCAAGATGAGTCCTTGGGATTTATATATTCTCTTATGGTCTGTTTTAATGCTTGCCTGGAGAACCTGGGCTTGGTCCCTGCGCTCCACCTGGGGTGCGGGGAGCAGACTCGCAGAAGCTTAGCTCCTGATACACTAAGTGAGTCAAAAGGAGGGCAGCGCTTTGTCCAGGCTCCAGAGCCCGGAACTGCTGACTGTGAGAAAGATAAGGCGAGAGGCTCCAAGCTCGCTGGGCAGGGACGCAGGTTTGCTGGCTTGGCATTTAAACATTTCCCTGAGACGCACAGGCCGATTGCTGAATGCCCTGCTGGGCACATCAGAGAAGGGCAGGGATGGCCCTCGACTCCAGACAGAGGGCATTGGAGTCTGAACCATTAGCAGTTTAAGGAGTCCTCCCTCCAGCCTGGGGAGGACGGGGATCAGCTCATGTTCCCAAAGACCTCAGAAACGCTCACTGCCAGCGCGCCAATTGAGACTGGGAGCAACCCTGTAGGGCAGGGTGGAACTGCCCGCCCGGGTTCCCAGCCTGGAACTCTCTAGGGGGTAGAAAGCCTCATCTTCCTCGTGTGGAAGGCTGGTGGTGTCCAACTGCTGACCTCATGTTTAAGCCTGAAGTGTAACCCGCCACCAAGACCCCAGGGGATCATCAAAGAGGAAGCAAAGTCCCCCAGCATCCCCGCCACCCTCCTCCCATCCCCAAAGCTCGATCTCCATCCCCCCTTCCCCTTCTCTGTATAGTTCATGAACCCAGACACTTCAGGGAGGGGACTGCCAGCCTTACAAGAACAACCTTCCTGGGAGCCAATACCAGCTTCGTGCCAAGTCATGAACTGGAACTGCCGACGGTGGGGAGCCCCGCTGTCAAACAGCACAGGGGAAACCCGGAAGTAAATGCACTGGGAGGGAGAGCACGAGTCCAGGCCGCCCTGTCCTGGGGTTCACCTTACAGCGGGCTGTGAGCACGAGAGGAGGGGCCCCATCCAGAGCAGAGCCCTGCCTAGAGGGGGCACTCCCACCCCTTAGGGGCTGCCATGTAAGTGGTCCCTGAGTAAGCCAACAGGAAAATGGCAGGGGTCTAAGATGCTCAGTGAGCACCAGGGTCTCCAAAGATCCTAGCTTGAGGCCACAGCAAGGTCATTCCGGGGAGCAGACCACACAGACCTGGAGGCCAGGGTCCCCACACGACAGTGGGGGCAGTAGGAATGCATTCGTACTTTGGGTTGGGAGGCAAGGGGTACACTTACCTGGCCACAGCCTCCAGCTGTTCCTTCCTGGAAGGGGGAGAGAGAAGAGTTAAATGAGGTGCATCGCGGTGCTATTCCCTCTCCAAGGTTTGGCCCAGAGCTTCCCCTGGAGTAAGGTGGGCAGCGTGGGGTCCTGAGACAAGGGGTCCATGTGGGGGAGCCAGTCAGTGAATGGGGTGGGCTTCCCTAGCCTGACCAATAGCCTCAGGGCCTACTGGCTATAGTTTGGCTCTGACCCTGGGGTCTTCTCAGCTGGTCACTCATTTATTCCCTGTGTGCTGAGCCTCGTGGAGGGTGGGGGGTAGCGGGGTGGGGACTGACCAGTCACAGGCGGTGATGATGTTTGGGCCACACAGCCCATAGCCACCAGCATCCCCATCGTTGATGTCCTTGCCATCACAGCTAACGGCACTGAGCAAGGAGCACTGGCCACAGGCCCTTTGAAGGGCGCCATGCGGGCAAACCCATTAGTGCTCATGGCACCCCGGGGAGATGACGATGCCCCTTTGCCAGATGAGAAGATTGAGGCACAGAGCCGTTAAGGCAAGGACTCAAGGTTTTGCCAGGAGGAAACATCTGAGCAAGGAACGTAAACCCAGGCAGGCTGCTTCGTGCTGGACAAAGAGGGGGTGCCTGAGAAAGGCTCGGGAGAGAATGCCATGGACTTTTCGATCCTTTTAGACACCCCCTCACAGCTCAGGCCGGCCCCTCTACCGGGAATTCCTTTCCTGCTCCTCCTCCTGATTCTCCAAGCTTCAGCCAGAGGGCTCCTGGTTTGGGGTTTCAGCTCAACTCTCCTGGCTGTTCTGCGTTCCCCTCTTTACCTGTGGGCTCTTACTTTGCTTTTTTCCTTTTCCCACATTTGTCTGAGAATCCAAAAACCAAACGCACTGTCCATCTGGCCCAACCCTGACTTACAGCGACCCTGTAGGGCAGAGTAGAACTGCCCCTGTGGGTTTCCCAGACTGTAACTCTTTACGGAAGCAGAAAGCCTCAGCTTTCTTGTTCGGAGTGACCTGTAGGTTTGAATTGCAGTTAGGAAGCAGCCTAAGGCATCACCCACCAAGCTGCTGCCGGGGCTCCCGCTGAGAACAGTTATTGCTAGGGACTGTCAGATCGGTTCCATCTCATGGCGACCCGATGTACAATGGAAGGAACCACGGCCCATCCTGCACCATCCTCACAATCGTTAGCCCATCGTCACAGTCACATGTCCATCCCTCTTGCTGAGGACCTTCCTCTGTTCCGCTGTCCCTCTATTTTGCCAAGCATGATGTCCCTCTCCAGAGACTGGTCTTGAGAGGGAGAGCCGCATGGATTTTCAGCTTTGAATTCGGAATGCCTGACCTCCGGTGCAGGGTCAGAGCTCAGGACATGGCTATCACTGGGGTGCATGGGAGGGTGGGTGGGGACTCAGGGGCAACACAGGAGAGAAGAGGCGACACATCATCACCTTTAAGAGGCATATGAAGTCCATGTCGGGAAACCATTGGCAGTTCTGTAGAAAGCTGGGCGCAGGGTGTCCAGGTGACCCAGCAGGGATGGAACTGAGGGAGCTAGGACTCCACGGGACCCCTGCTTCTACTGCTCCCTCGCCCATCACCACCCGGGGTGTCCTGCCTTCCATAGCCCCGGGCTTTCCCAGGTTTGATGTAGATTCCTATGGAATCTTGTGTCCTCCCGGCAGGGCGCTCCAGGTCCCCTGCAGCATTTGTCCTTGTCCCAGAGGCCAGAGTGGTGACAGCACAGGTGCCCGTCCACTGACAGTGGATTCTCGAAAGGTGGGCACCCACCCTGCGGGGCATTCGGTGGTACGCTAATAAGGGGTAGAGTGCTGGTGCCCGCTGTAACACTGATGACCTTGAAGCCACCGTGCAGAGGGAAAAAGAAGTCAGGTATGCAAGGTCACACGTTGTATGTGTCTCAAGGTTTCCCCTGCACATGGAAATCACAGACAAAAGGTGACGGTATTTCAGGCAAATGATGCACACACACAAAGAATGGGGGCTGGCCCTGGCCCCACACAGGTATTTGGGTAAAAATAGAGTTTGGGTTGGTAGGAGGGGGCTTGGGGGAGGGGTGGTAATGCATCGGTGCTGATGGGCCTCCAGTTTCCCTTCCAGGTGGTGACCATGTGCTGGGACTGAATAGCGGTGGCTGATGGACAAGTTTGTGAGGATGCTCAAAGGCGCGGGGTTATCCACTGAGAACGGGTGGACTTCGTTTCGTGAGTAAGCGCTCCACAATGTTGTTACTTAAAACAAAAAACGAAACATGTACGAAGCCCAGTCTCGGGGAAGCACACGGCGTGTTTTCCGGTACTTTTCAGCCTCGGGAGTGTGGAGTTGGAGCTGGAATTCAGGGACAGTGTCTTCCCAAGGGGTTGCCTCGCTTTAGAGTGGCTGCTAAGAGAACTTCTCTAGGGACTTTATACTTTCGTCCTTGAAAAAAAAGAAGAAAAGACAGCCCTGTTCTCTCCCTGTTTCAGAACCAGCCCTGCATCCCAGCAGCTGTCTGCAGCACAATGCTCCACTCCCAGCCCCTGGCAGCTAGGACAATGCCTTACTTATTTATAATGTCAGCCCAGAGGAGTGGGCCCATTGCCAAGACCTTTGGGGGCACAGCACACGGGAACCAGCTCGGCCCGTGCTCAGCTGGCTTCTGCATCTGCTTGTTGTTTCTCAGTTCAAGGTCACTCTGTTCTCTTTAAGGAGAAGGCACCCATCCACGCTAAGACCTGCTTTATCCTGCCCCAAACCTACGCAAGTATGGAAATCTTAGTGTTTGGAACCCAGAGAAACCAGACCAGCCATCGTCTGAGCAAGTGAGTCTACCTACAATGGGGAGAAAATACAAACAGTTGTTGGAGTTGCTCTTAGAGATTGCCTTTGAGTGGGTTCCAAATCCGTAGGGACCCCGTGCACAACAGAGGGAACACAGCCCGGTCCTGCGCAGTCTTCCCCCTTGTGCCCAGGCCTGAGCCCATGGCTGCAGCCACGCTGTCCATCCATCTCCTCAAGCATCTTCCTCTTCTTCGCTGGCTGGCTCTTCTACCGAGCACTATGTCCTGCTCCAGGAACTGGTCTCTCCTGGCAACACGTCCCAAGTAAGCAACATGAAGTCTCACCAGCCACACCTCTCAGGAGCATGCTGGCCATCCTTCCAAAGCCGATCGGTTTGTCCTTTGAGCAGTCCACGGGACTTTCAATTGTCTTCTCCAGCGCCACAAGTCACGTGCATGGATTCTTCTTCGGTCTTCTTTACTCCATGTCCAACTTTCATATGTATATGAGGACCCCTGGTGGCATAGGGGTCATGCATTGAGCTGTGATTCCAAAGGTCAGTGGTTCAAAACAACAAGCCGGTGTCAGTGAGAAAGCTAGGGCTTTCTACTCCAGTAAAGAGTTACAGTCCTGGAAACTCATGGGGCAGGTCTACCCTGTCCAATAGAGTGCTGTACGCTGGCATCAACTCCATCCAGGGTGTAGCATTCCATTCTTGAACCTAATTCTTCCATCACTCATCCATCCATACCAAGGTGCTGTTCCCATGGCTATGTATTTTTCCCGCTGTACTGCCCACTCTCTTGTTTTCACCTTCATTCCCACAGCGTCATTCCCTCTTGCTCAGAATCCTGCGATCACTTTCTAGCTCCACTTCTGCCCTTACGCCGCCCATCTTGTGCCAGACCACAGTAGGGTCTACGGAAGCCACCAATCGGCGGCAGAAGCAAGATTCAGAGCAGGTCCCCACACTGAGTGTTCCACCTCTTTTCCTTCCCACCCAAAGGCTCTGATTCTAGCATTCCACCGCAAACTTAAAACCCTGATTTCAGGACTACAGAGATGACGATCTAAAAAGTGCAGGCTGTTTTAGAAGCTGCCAGTCGAGAAAGGACCGTGGTCTTTGGCTGCCCCTGCATGTGGCTGACATTAGAGCTAAGCTGTCCAGAGTGTTTGAGCCTCAGTTCCATCACCTGAGACAGGGGGGACGGTGGGGAAGGC